TGGAGGATGACAATCAACATCTAGAAAAGATGTGCTGATACGTGTCAATTTCTTGGGACCACTGTCACGTGTAGAACTGATTGTGAATATACAACTGGGACAGTCGCAGGAAAGAGACAGTCGCAGGTCTCTGTACCAAGTACATGGAAACTTAAGAAAGAAGCTGGGGCTCCCTTATCTTATTCCATAGGCATTATTGGAGTCTTGTGAGCGCTGGTGGGGAACAGCCGAGCTACCAGACCAGAGACACGGTTGCCCGCAGACGACTAACTTTAGCAAGCCCAGCTAGCCCAGTAGACGAAATTAAAAAAGACATTGTTTGATGATCAACGAATATGCCTTGACCAAACTTCTACGCTTAATCCGGGTAATTGCATTTCAGCCTGATGGAAAAGAACTCGAAATGGAGCTCGAGGGGAAGCCTTCAAGCGATAACGGATATATAGCTGTCGGCTTCTCGGAGGACCCTAAAATGGTGAGGATGAACGGCAAGTAAAAAAAACCTAAGTATTCCAAGACTGTCCGGATCCTAAAACTTGACGAAGCGTCGAGAATGTCAAATGCAGGAATCGGTAGACGCCGGTGTTGAGAGGTGGTTAGGAGGGTCGTATGGCCAAGACTGATTGTGGTGATGGTGGGCGTGGCATTGAGGATAAGGGAAGGCTTCATCCTATCGTGATGTCAAGATTGCTATATATACACTTGAACTGTTGTCGAAATACCTCGCTAAGCACAGTTTCAACAATTCCTCATTGTGTTGTCGTCTCACCTGAAGGAAAGTGGAGTGAAAAAGGCGGATGGAGCTGGAATGGGGACAGATGAGCGAAATCTACCAGCATCTAATTCGTGGTTAAAATCATCGTTAAGGTTTCATTCTGATGTGACTTATGATCGCGATAAGACTAACCATTATACAAAACATCCTTTATGCAAACGCATCCCTTCCACGAAGTGTTGATCTCACAAGCGGGAAGTCAGCACAGTGAAGACGTAAAGCGCACAGGACAGGGGTTGGGAGACCAGAGCGGCTGTCGTGGGACAAACGCACCTAACACGGTGGAAAATGTGTAGATGATAGATTGTAGGTAAAGAGAAAGCATAATGAAACAGTGAATATTCGGGAAACGCCACTCATTCGTATTTTCTTCACTCACATAAGAGCGAACTTTGAGTGGAGCTTACTTCGAAAAAACAACCAACTGGGTCCAAACGTCCAATTCTTTTTTGGCATCTGAGGGAGATGTTAGGCCCGGCGACCAGAGTGAATAACGATCAAGGAAATTCTCTACAGGGGGTCGTATTTGTTCCGATGAGAGGTGGGGGGGGTCGTAAGCAGAAGATTCAACGAGCACAACGATGCTGCTGCCACTCATTCGCCTGTCATCATTAATTTCGCAAGTGTTTAGTGGCCTAATGCAAATGACACCTTACATCTATCTTAAAGGCAAACTCCGGAATTAAACTGGTGCTAAGAGCGCTTCGCAGTGATAGCTTAGCTGCGGAGCGACCCCAAAGTGGAGAGGGAAGCGAGAGAACTCTTTGGGAACGCTGAACTTAAGGCCTTAACCTTCAAAAAGGTCGGATGTGGTACGACGGCAAGACAGGGCGATCAGAGAGGTCAAAACACGCGAGAGAGAACGTCGTTTGAGAGAGCACGCTGATCTCTACATCAATGCACGCTGATCTCACCACATCTCGCGGTGGGTGGGAAGCGTTCGATGGTTGGAGGCCCGTAAGGATTAGCGCCCTAACCGCGCGATTTTCGCGACCAAGTTGAAGTGATCTAGGTAGGTACGGGTCTTACAATTTCCCTCGCGGTATCCTTCCTACTAGTCGGGCTAATCCCGGGGTTTGCCTTTAATCCAATTCAATCATCATTGCTCAGCTGTAGGTTGCTCGCTGATTTTTCGTAATGATTAGTACGAAGAAAGAGAGCATTAATAAAGCGGCCATTCCCTCGACACGATTTTCACCCTGTCGGCGACTGCCGCGCAAGTCTCAATCTCATGACACGAATCGGTGTTACCCAATCAGTCAGTCTCACATGGCCAAAGTATACCCAGTAGACCTGGCGGTCACGCACTGCGCCACTGTTGATCGTGTTGCTTCGTTGAAGCGCGAGCTGCAGCAGATTAACAAGGGGCAATGAGAAATTTTTGAAAACAGAATAAACTATCGTCTGAAGATGAGTATGTATGGTTTAAAATTGTGGAGTCGACTTCTGAGACGAACTCGCTTTTGATCAAGTACGGTCTCAGTGACAAAAGTTCAGCATTGAATTGTTACATTATTACAGGGTAACGATTTGGTCGTGTTTTGTGCTCGTTTTGGTGACTCCGTGAAGGGCGGACTGGCGCGTACTGTGAAACCTACTCGTATAGAGGTAGGAAAGGGCTTACTGCCGTCGATTACAAGCCAGCGTAACTCATTTTAGCGCGCAGCAGTTTTTCGTAAAAACACCTTTTATCGTAGTTTCACTTTCGAGCACGCGTACTTGTCCCATGAGAACTCATAAGTTCTTGCCCCAAGAACTTTTTGAGATCCTATGAGACACGCGTGCTTCAACAGGGTTTGAAGGTTCGCCGACTGAGGTAAATGGTTGTTCAATGCCCCTGATAGGAAGCTGCTGCGGTGTCACAACAGATAATAATATTTCCATTCAGAATAACACCGGTGTGCAAACAGTTGTCTCAGCTACTAAACAAGACGATGCCATCAATTGCGTTATACGGTAAGAATTTTTTCACAAAATGGTTTAATCTGATAGTGAGTAGATGTTTCTAATTGTCATATCTCGCGCAGTAAGCTTAGAAGCGTTTTTTTGCGCATGTGGAACCCAACCGCATGAAGAGCTGGCACAGCGGCTGGAAATTTTAGTAGGCATATGAAAGATAATAGGGAACAGTTCTCAAACTATCAAATGCGTAGTTTTACCACCATCAATTTCCTGGATTGCTGATGACCATTTTTGAGCAATTGTGCCCAGGGTCAACCGTCACGTTCGCACTTTTTCTCAAATTTTGCGACCCCTACCACCACTGCCAGCCTCAGGAGACTCTCCCAACCCAATACCCCCTTCATAACCCGATCACCACGCTCACCTTTATGGCTGTCTCTACGGTATTTGATTCCGAGACCAGTCGAACATCCTGACTTTTTCCTCTAAAATATCCGTCGAGCAAAGGGAAAGGGGCATAAATTGGTACCATGAAACGGCAGATTAATTAGTGTTGTCCCTAATTACCCTACTTTCATGAAACATTCGTCAAAAACCCCGTCAAATACAACCCCCTTTTAACAACCCCCGTTCACACATTTCCCAAGGTAATTGGCTTTTCAGCCCGCAATACGACCCTCCTTCGCAAAACCGTGAATTCGACTCCCGCTCAAATAGTGCGAACGAGCAGTCGGTCCTGCTTCTGCTTTTTGCGAGCTGGCATTTATAAGCATCAAGCACACCCGCGTGGCCAGTGCCACAAAGATGCGGCACATAGCTATCTCGATGAAGCAAGAGCTGGTGATTGCCACAAGATTCACAGTTGGGATGCTTCACCTTTTCCTTCGTTGTCTTCACCTGCACCACCTATCATTCCGTTGCTCATCGAGCTCAATGATGGTTGCGGACATATTTATTGATAGTCACAGCTATCTAACTTATCACCAATCATTCTTGCCATCACACATAGAAATTGGGATAAAAAGCGACGTCGGGAAGACCACCTCAAGGCTTTACAGTGACGTGAGATGAGTACGAGGTGGATAAATATCAGAACGGGATATCCAATAGTTTTTTCATTTAAAAGTCATTCAAATGAGCGTAAAAATCCTATCGACACATTGTCAACGGCGTGTCAGAGAAACAAAAGGAAAAATAATTTTGAAAAACAATAGGGGTGGCTCGGGAATTTTGACAACCTTACGTCTACTCATTCCATTCCTAACTCATTCCATTCCAATCCGTTACTCCGATGGAAGTCGCTCAAAAGTTATGGGCCAATCTCCTCTTCAAGGCCACCGACACAAGCATTGAAGAACTAGCAGTCTTTGTCATGGAACTACCCAATCACGCAGAAGTTTGGCACTAATAACACTGAGATTACCAGACCTGGCTTGTGGATCAGCTTCGGGTGCACCCAAAAAAGCAATAGCAAGACTAGGAATATATATACTTCTTCAATAACATTGCCACAATTTCATGATAATTAACGATACCCTGCGATCAAAATTTATGATAATTTCGCTTGAAAATGGTTACGTGACGAGCTCCGCTGAATCACCGCGCTTTTGGTCGCAGCATGTGATTTCTTGTTGGCCACTGCTGGTTTGGATCTGTGAACTTTGGAGTATGTGTAATTATTAGATTTCATTTGTAGTCATTTAACATGGCGGGCGACTAGAAACAGCTGTTACACTGGGTGCGACAGACCATTGACAAAGCTCTAGCGACCTTGCTCCACACTTTCGAGCCGCGTGAGCGCTGTGTCCGTGTGTCAGCTCTACCTACCCATCAAAGGGGCCACTTGAAAGCTGTACTGGTGGTACGCAAGCCATGCCATTCTGACAATAAGCCCATTTGCACAGACAATTTCAAACAAATACACAACATTTTCATTCTGCAGGCAGGTCAAGAAGCCGGAAGGTCGTCCAGAGCTATTTGATCTCAGTGGATCCTACTACATCCTTTTTGCCAGAGGCCCTTATGTGGAAACAAGTATGCTTCTTTCAATAACAGATTCATTTCATAACAAGTTTGCATGGACTGGTTCACTTCCGCTCAGGAAAATATCACTGCGAAAACCCACTATGACTAGGGTGAAAGCAACAATTCCAGATGGAATTTGCAGGGTAAAAACGTTCAAATGAAGTTGTAGATGGCGAGTTGACTGCTAATCAGGGTGAAAACCGGTCGAGGATTCCCCAACGGCTCGTCGAGAATTTCGCCTGTTCAGTCACGCTCTCCTGCGTGTACATTCACTCTCGACACCACTCTCACACGGTAAAGAGCCACTGTTGAAGAATTCCCCCTTCTCTTCATTCACTCTGCTGCTAATGGGAAAAAGCGAAGGAACTCGCCGATAAAGCCTCAAAGGTAAGCCCAGGGGTCGAAGGTTGCAGGCCCGTAAGGATTAGCGCCCTAATCGCGCAGTTTGTGCGACGAAGCTGGAGTGATCTAGGTAGGTAGGGACCTTACAATTTCCCTCGCGGTACCCTTCCTACTAGTCGGGCTAATCCCGATGATTGCCATTTAAGCAGGGTCTCCCTCTTCCCCTTGGAAACGAAGGAAGGGGCGTGTCTGACGAGCAGTCCGAACTAGCCTGCTCCGCCGGCATTTCTTGCCGCCTCGTGCCAGCAAGAAATGTGCTGCAATCGCATATGCACCAATACAAGCAGAGACATATGCATCAGTACAAACAAGGAAATGCGATAATTTAACGTAAGCAAGTAAAACCAATCAAAAGAGGCAGCATTAATTTCGAAACGCGGTACAGTTACACGCAATCGCGCAAGGACCCGCATCGAAGCACGCGATCTCCACGGCTGGCAAGTGGCGCCGCTCCAGATTTGACGACATGCCCACATCGAAGGGTTCAAGTCCGTTTAGAGGGTTCCCAAGGTGAAATGTTTGTCAGGTGATACTTCATATGTCCCTGAGTAGGGCATCATATCCACACCATTAGTCTCGAAGGTAAGGACCCTGCTGGGACTGTAGCTTTAATCCGAGAGGCGTGATAAGTATCTTTGAGATGAGGCTGATGCTGCAGCGTGTTGGCAATAAAGCTTGTGCTATTCCCCTTCAGACAATACCGCTTCACTATAGGCTGTCTCCATAATTGAAAGAAATAATCGTGATTGATACTACTGATTGGTTATTTCATTTTTATGAATTCTTTCCGCTTCATTTTTCTGTGAACTCAGTCTTTGGTGTACAATCGGTAACCCTTGTCACTAACGCTGGTTAAAAATACCAATTTTTTTGTGTAACTCCGGCCCTATTAGGCGACTTAGCGCTTCTCCACTGTTATTCAGATGACACAGCTGAATTACAAAATCACACCCCTCAAGGGCGTTACGTTGGTGATAAAGTATCGCTCGAGGATGTCAGCGTTGGAGGCGCCAACGCGACCGAATCAGATGGAACGGAAGGAACGTCAAAATCAGGTGAAGGATTTTTTCTTCTGGTCCTTGGATGTTGGTTTGCATTGATGAACCATAGAATAGATAACAATTTCGTTCCTGACATTGTTCCGTTTCATAGTTTTCACGCAGAAACCTGCATTATTTAAAGATTGGTCTACATGTGGCACAAAAAAAGGATGCGTTTTTGCGCCCGAAGGCTGCGAGAAGACAAAGGACTGCACTTTCCGTTTCAGCTATAAGGTTTGATTTTGAGATGCTAACACTAGAGTTGATGACGCAAATGACTCAATGGGCAGATGCCGCCGCCATGCATACTCGACCAGATGCGTGCAAAAAGGTAGTTCAGTGTAGCACCGTCTTGTCGCGCGCAAGTAGCGATATGCTTGTGCAGCGCACTACGGTGTATAAATTGTCGTGCCCGGCAATAACTCGCAGAACCCGTGCGACTGTAACATCATCTGTAGTGGCAAAGAAAAGCGCTTGGAGAAATGACGTAGATAGAGACGTTTTTGAAATCTCTTACTAACCTGTCATATGTTTCAAATATTAACACGACGTAAGCTTCCAATTATGCCAAATATCTTAGAATCTTAACGATAATCATTTTACCTTTTTGCTCAGTGAGCATGATCTCTCAGTGTTTTGGAGACAGGTTGAAGGAATGCGATTACGAGAACAGGGAGAATTGTATTTTGTGAGCCACGCAAGTTTGCGATGCTATAAAGCACGTAAATAAATTTGATACCATCTAATGAATATGCTCCTTGGCAAATTTCGATTCTTTGGCTTTGTGTTTCAGCCGGTTGGAAAAGAGCTCGAAATGGAGCTCGAGGGCAAGCCTTCGAGCGCTGACGGATACATAGCTGTCGGCTTTTCAGAGGATCCAAAAATGGTGAGCTTCAAAGGATAAAATATGCAGCGTCGGCGAACACCTGTGCATAACGCGACAGGCGCAATCCAACGTCAGACCACTATTTCCTCCTCCACGTGACGTAGATGTACTGGATGGCCACAAATTACGTTAACAAGGTACAGTGGACATGAAAAATCGACGACCAGAAAAAGGGAAAGTGGACAACAGGTAAGTAGAATGAAAAAGAGTACATGACCCCTCCTCCGTAGCAGTGATTTCCATGCATTTAATACTTGCAAATTTTTGCGCATGTTTCGCTTCGCGTGCGGGCGCTCTGCCTCGTTAAAATATCCAGCGATTCCCTTCGAAATACTCTTCTGTCACAAGAATTGAGTTTCGAGGATAGCAATAAAGCTAATTTTTACGAAGACCACTGTTTTCAACTTTGATGTAAAGCCCATACACTCCGACACATAATCCCGGTTCATTATTTTTTGGAGGACCAAGATATTTTTGATTAGCCCAGATTTTTAAGATTTGCTCATTTCAATACAGTGTGGTGCAATGGCGAGCTCTTTCTTAGTGGTTACAACGACTGAAAAATAATGCCTGCTCCAGGATCAAGCCCACATCTCCATGCACCGTTGCTTTACTGCCATTTTGCCCGCGTCAGCAAGGAGAATGGGGTTTCTCTCCTGATACGCCTTAAAATAATAAACGAACATCTTCTTACTAGAGAGCAGTTTTCCCTCAGTTCACGGCCAAACTATGAATCAGTTCTCCTTGCTCCCGCGCGTACCTTGTCAGCAGTACTCCTAATCAGCTCTCAGCCTTCACACATCCGGACTGACTGGCCTAGTCCCTAGCATGATAAACACTGTAATATTGGTGAACAGAGACTTCCCAAATGCTGTCAAATTACCACGTTACCTAATCGAACAAGTTGGCGGTGCAAGCGAGCGCTTTCGAGCCTTAAGTGAAGGCATGATACTTTTAAAATCGCGGCATTTTAAATGGTCCAGTTCGGGAATGGAATGGTTGAAGCAATTAAAACAATCATAAAAGTTTGGCAATGGAAACAATGCATGTCCTAATTTATATTTGAGTTCATTCAGAGTTGCATGCGGCCTGTCCTTGTTGAAGTAATTTGTGGCCACCACTGTAGCGCGTCACCGCAGTCGGGCTGCTCACCCACACTCGTTGAAATTGATGTAGAAGGCAGAAATGTAGCGATAGGACTACGTCATCACGGAATGACAATCCTTCGACAGTATTTCGGAGTTAAATGCTATTCTTTTTTAGGGCAATGATATGGTCGTATTTTGTGCTCGTTTTGGCGACTCCGTGAAGGGCGGGCTGATGCGTAATGTGAAACCATTCCGTGTAGAGGTAGAAAAAGTCTCATTGTTGTTGAATTGAACCCAGTGCTCCTTATCTCGCGGAGTACAGCTTATCACGAAAACGCTTCTTATCATACCTCCCTTCTATTGAACACACCAAACAAATTCGTCGAGTTCTTACGGGGCACAATGCCTCATGTCTACGGGATTTATAGGTTCGTCTATGAGGAATGTCATGATTCAGCGTCGTTGTTGAAAAAGTATTGTGAGTGATTCCACAGTATACACTACAGGGTGGGGCAAGCTACTGAAACCAAATGATTGCCGCGCAAACATTTGGAGCTTGTATAAAAAATAGCTATTGTATCTTCCTTGTCTCGCGCACTGCGTTTCGTCACATCTTCTGCCGCTTTCAAAGGATATGAAATAATTTCACGTTCTTTTGGTATATGCGGCCCTGTAGCGATATTAGGAACCATCGCCCCCGAAGCGCTTGTTCCAAACGAATCATGTCCAACCGATCACAGGTACCACTGAGAAGTGTGAAGACCGTGAAACGCTTTAATCACAAGAACCGTTTTGTAAAGCTGAAAAATGAAAATGAAAAATTGTCATTTCAGTACCGACAGTACCCCAGCAATTATCACACAAAGGATCGAAAATACACCATTAGTATTAAATCGATCGCGTATAGCCTCAAAATTGATAAATTGTTCAAATGTTCTTTGATTAAATGAATCGCGCACGGAAAATTCTTGCATCCCAGTTTTTGCATTCCCGACATGAATATGTCAGTGGTGATCACTAGAGACAGTGAACAAAGTTTCATGCAAGGAAATTTAGTTTCGGATGAGCAAGCCTACGGAAACCACACTGCGAACGGTCGTCGCTCTATCGGGTAAGGAAAGAAGTGCGCCTAGAGGTGGCTACGTATTAGGCGAGATTCGAGGGGCCGGGCATCGGTAGATGCAGTGAGAGAATGAACTGCTTTTGCCAATGATGCAAAAGGCAAAACAAGTACTTGGTGACCGCACATCAAGAGGGAGCGTTCATTCTGCTACACTTGTTACAGATGTGCAGCGGAAATTCGAACGCGTAGCAGTAAACACATTTTCGTTTTCTCGTTGTTATTGTAGAGATTGGCTCCCAAACCAACGGTATTTTGGGACGTAGAATCGTGCTTTTCCTGCGGATGATTCCGTTCATGAAGATATAAGGCTTTGCAGTGCAGCTCCTATATGAGCAAAGGCACTCAACAGACGATGCCAAATCGAAAAAATTAAGAACCGCAGAGAATTGCTGAAAGTGTCTGCAGTGCGCCTCATTGAAGATGTGCACTTATAAGATGAGAAGATTTTACTCTATAGGGCTCACAGCTATCACCATGACCGACAATTGATTCCGATTGTTGATATTATAGTTCCTCGATGGAAGATTCTTGCCAACAAAGAATACTCAAAGTGACTCGTTCCGCAAAAAAAGTGTGACGGTTTCAAGCAAAATTTCAGAGATGCTCATTTTCATCGATTGTGAAGTGAATGTCAAAGCCAATGTTCCTTGAGGAACCGTTCTAGACAAGAAGTATATTGTGAAGCCAGAAAATTCTAGAGTGTTGTCCAACACGATTGGCTGGCGCATGGTGCAGTGGCAACCATCGCTTTCATAGACTCATTTTTTCTACCTCATCAAGTAAGAAAGGCCTATTAGCAGTCCGGATTTGTATAGATTTTTCCGAACTTTCCGCTCATGGATACATTGAGGAGAAGCTGAAGAAGATAGTAATTGCTACGAATGGTCTACACCGTGACTTGAAGTCTGCCTAACCATAAGATGAATTAGACATCCACTACACGTTTCACTGCGTGAATGAGCGGCTTGTGTTGAAATGGAGTAATTTCAAGCACAATTTTCAAGCTCAAGTTGCGCATGTTTGTTTTATCTTAATATAAATACTTTGTTCACTTCGCTTTAGAGAACATATGTGTACTTTATCAGAGGACAGCTTACCGGCCCTTATACCAGCATGAGAAATGGTCCCACAATTCGGTAGTCCCTAATTTCCAAAGGGATTTCTTGGTTTCGTCACCCCTTGACTGTGCAAGTCAATGAGAGAAATGCGATGAGGTTATGGTTTCATCTCTCAAAAAACTAAACAAAATTCTTATGTATCCAGAAGAGAAGTCCAGAAAATCAAATGAGGACAAGGAGGATTTTTCCCAAGAATAGGAGCACTCTAGCAGTGTTTCCATGCAACTTTGTCTCCGTATTATTGTTTATCTCTGTAGTTTTTCTATTCAGAACAACACTGGTGTGCAAACAATCGTCTCAGCAACCAAAAATGGCGACGTTATCAACTGTGTGATACGGTGAGAATTTTTTGCTTTGAGCGACTTAGTCTGTCATTAGGAAGTTTATTTTCCATTCTCTATTTTCACTCTATGCAAACACTTAGTTAACCCATTTTTACCCACGTGTGCTCGAGAATCTAACTGTGAGCAGTGTCGGCACAGCGGCTGGGGACGTTATCTGTCCTGTACAAAGCGGAGAACTACTACATTTCAGTTCAATTCTTAGAAAGATAAGATGTTGGTTCTCCCAACATCATCGTTTCTGAATTTGCTGGTGCCCTCATTTCGGCCTTTGCACTTTGTGCAAACTTCTATGGTATGTATATGCATCAGCACATTCACGCAGCCAAAACGCGAGTTGGAAGCTACACATCACAAGTTAGTCGAGCGGATTTGATAATTCCAATAGTGAACTCGTGCCCGAAATTGTCAACATTTTTTCTGGAATTTTCCAGTGTCACCGCGTTCGCCGTTGACAACGTCCATTTGCTTCTGACGCGTGTCATGTCTACTTTAAATTTTGCGACTTTTTCTTCATCCGGTGTAGAATTCCAGAACAACAATTTTTTGGTCTGAGCATCGTCAGACTCTGAGACTGTTTCACATAGAGAGAAATTGGGTGGCTTTGAATGGAAGCTATAGCTCAAGCGCGGCACAAGTGAGAGAGGAGTTCGATAGACCCCTTGACCACCACCGTCTTGGGTGGCTCCTTCGACCCGGCTCCCCCCCCCCCATCCTCAAGCACCACCCTCACCACCGTGGCTCTTTATAGTCTAGATATTCCGCGAATGGCGCAACTCCCCCACTTCTTTCCTCTAAAACGACCTGAGCTGATGAGGGGAGGCTGGGAGGGACAATTTCTCCACTAAAGCCGCAAATCCCTCTCATTTTAACTCTTCATGCTTACTTTTGGAATTTAACGTGGAATTTGGAAGATCCTGGTGAACACTTTATCCTCTTTCGTCACCCACCATCAATTTCCAAAACCCTTCCCCCGTTTCCACACTCTTGACTCCCAACCTCTAGTACTATCACGACTCCAAAAAACTCAAATAAGATCCGTCTCGTCATTAAATCCCAACGCATACTTGACCCCGATTGCGAGTTAACCGTATTGCGTGAATTGAAACGATAAACTCAAATAAGATCCTGCTCATCACATTCCAATCTTGTTCCATATGTGGATTCTATTGAAAGTTGTGTCTGTGAGATCATCGGGAAGGCTTTCATGGATTTTCGGTGTTTCCTATGGATTTAATGTATTTTGTTATTATTTCCGAATACGGCTTATGAACCAGCTTTGGGCTCTCAAATAATAAGTACTCATCGCTGATTCCCATCTAAGTTGGGGTGTCCTGCAACACATGCTGGAAGCTATCCCACTCACAACATAGACCCACCTGTGTTTCTCGCTTTGATGCTCACTTTTGCCATGCGAATTTGTGGTTATTTCGTTTGTACATGGTATGTGACGCATCAAATGAAGTCGCGCTTGTGGTTGCAACGTGCTATGCCGTTGTTAGCCGGAGTTCAGTTAAAGGAATCTTGCGCGGAAAAATCATGATTCTATTTCAGCCATAAATCACTGGCTTGAGACTCATTATCCACGATAATAGTGAAAAGAACTGAAGTATTGCTTTCGTTTTGATTAGAAATTCGAAAAGGCTGCTACGCGTTCGAATTGCCCACGGACGTCTTTCACGAATGCTGGCGACGGGGATGCTCAAACTTGGTTCTTGGAGTGCATTCACTAGAAGCTCTTTCTGGCCTTCTGCTTCGTTGCATTCACATCTTACACTTCTACTCCATCCTATTCCATCGATCGATTTGTCTCCACTCTCCGAAATCGCGCGCTTTAACCCGATTCTCTCATTGCGTCGCCTGGTACGTAGCCGGCCAAACGCCGTCTTCTTTCCATGCCTCGCCTGGCTCTGCCTCCTGGTCCTTCGATGGTCCATAACGTGTAGTTTTTGTACGTTTGTTTCTCTTCAGAAACCGAATCTTCATGCGTGAAACTTTGTGTGCTATTTCCAGTGATCACAACTGACATATTCATGTTAGGAAAGAGTGCAAGAATTTTCCGCGCAAGATTCCTTTAAGCTTCGGAAATATTTGGCGGCGGGACTATCGACAAGACCCGAGTGCCGCTGCTGGGCGAACAGCGAATCCTAAGCAACAGCTTATCCTATAATTTGAAGAAATAGAGTTTTATTTCGCAAGTAAATGGCTGAAGAGGTAGTTCGTTTTGCCTCTAACCGCTCACTAGAGAACTCATCTTATTGTTAGAAACTGCTAATTATTAGAGTGGACTGCAAGTGATCCATGGTACTCTCACAATCCAGGTGTCCATTTGCATAACCGATTCCAAATTAGATTTACAACCTTTCCATTCTGCAGGCAGGTCAAGAAACTAGAAGATCGTCCAGAGCTATTCGATCTTGGCGGCTCCTACTACATCCTTTTTGCCAGAGGTCCCTACGTAGAAAAAAGTACGTCTTTTTCAACCAGCTTTCTTCTATTTAACAAGTTGTGTAACACCAGACTGATAACTTATTTCATACAATTTTGCCTTTCTGATGGTCTGTATTGTCACGGAAACGCGACGTTCAAGACGATGACGCTTCGCTAGGGAGTGTCTCTAAAATCGGAAGACGAATCTTCCCAATTGTTTTTTTTTTCGAGTAGATTTCCGATTCCTCATGATGTACTCAATTGAGCGTGACCTGTGGGGAGCACGGAAGCACGTAGCTCCTGTGAATGCAACCCTCAAGTGAATGTTTAAGTTAAGCTGATGCTAGTAGGATGTGAAGCAGGGAGTAGTCACGTCATCGTCCCTTGACGGTAAAATTTTTATACATAACTCGTCGTTTGCGTGTTATGCGAACCGACCATGCGTTTTCACAACGAGCGCTACTGCAAGCGAAAAATGTAACAATCGAGATATTGGACCACTGTGACGCGATGGCTCGCGTTAAAATTTCTCGCACTTTCGCTAATCAAACGATAATAACACTAGTAAAATGTGGTAATTTGGTGTTAACTCTGCTCTATGCAGCAATTTACGCTTGTCTCATGCATAGCTATTGACAGATGATACAGCCGAGTTACAAAATCACACACCCCAAGGGCGTTACGTTCGACAAAAAGTATCGCTCGCGGACGTGAGCGTTGGAGGCGCCAGTAAAGGAGAAGAAACGGAAGGAACGGCTGAACCAGGTGGACCATTTCTCCTTTTCTCACTTTTGGTTTCGGGCGTGACTCACTTCGAATTTGCTCCCTTTATTCATGGTTTCCTTCTAGTTTTGTTCCTCTTGTCCTTGAATAAAAAGCCTCAGATGAGTTACATGCACCATTTTTGAAGTAAACCACTCCCAGATGATGAAGCACTGAACACGGTGATAAAGGGTCACAGCAGGGGCCAGCGGGGTCAAGCACATTGTTCCGTTTTAAGTTTTTACACTAAAATCTGCACCTTTTATAGGCTGGTCTACATGTGGTACAAAAAAGGGATGCGTTTTCGCGCCCGAAGGCTGCGAGAAGACAAAGGACTGCACTTTCCGTTTCAGCTATAAGGTTTGATTTCGAAATGTTACCCGGGTTTTGGGTTGATGACGGGAGTGACTCAACAGCCATATGCCGCAGCTATTTATACTCGAAGGGAGGCGTGACTAAATGGGATCGTCTGAGTGAAATATAGTTTTTTTTTCGGCGGGTAACGATAAATCTAAGGCGACATCAATTATGCTACCCGGCAATCACTCACAAAGCCCGTGTACTCCCATGAATGTTGATTTCCCTATGCTTGAAGCCAGTGAAAACACTTTACAGAAATGACGCGGATCGTTTTGTGAAACACTCACAGTATCTCCCCATATGTTTCCAATCTTTACACGACCAAGGCTTCCAACCATGAAAATCATGTCAGGACCCCGAAGAGTAAAATTACTTTTCCTCCTGCTTAAGTAGCATAATGCTACATTTGGTCGTTTTTTCTGATCGCTCGGTGTTTTGGTAACAGGTGAAACGACTGCGATCGTAAGGAGCAGGAGATAAAATTGAAGCGGTTGTTTTGCCCAATATGAACATTCAGACGCGAAGGGGATCTACATAAGACACTTTCGACACAACAGCATGGAGAGCATCAAAAAGCACGAAACAAGGCAAAAACAATGCGATTGAACCGACATATTCAAGGCCATCGTCACATGTAATACGGAGACATACCATTGCCACAGATTGCTGGAAGCGTGCATGAAGTGTGAAAAAACCTATCCCAAAAAACGCTAGAACACATTGGTCCCCTGCGATCTGTGCCTATGCCCACCCAAAGAATTGAGACGGAAGCATACGCCCGCATCCACAAACACGAGAGGCTTCACTTGGGGGGGGGGTGGGGGGATAGGGAACTCCGAGCTATCAGAGGAACAAGTACGGCTACCTGCGGAGTATAGTGTTGTGAACTCTGAAATTTGGGACTGAACTATATAGCATGCAAGCTTAAAATTGCTGCAATCCAATGAATATGCTCCTTGCCAAATTTCAATGCTCTGGCTACGTGTTTGTGTTTCAGCCGGATGGAAAAGAACTCGAAATGGAGCTCGAGGGCAAGCCTTCGAGCGCTGACGGATACATAGCTGTCGGCTTTTCAGAGGACCAAAAATGGTGAGCTTAAAGGATAAAATAAGCAGCGTCGGCGAACGCCTGTACAGGACGCGATAGGGACTATCCACGTCCACCACTATTTCTTCCTCGACGTGACGTACATGTGCTGGATGGCCACAAATTAATGTAACAAGGTACAGGAGACATCAAAATCGACAACCAGAAAAAGGAATGTGGATAACAGATTATAGAAGTAGAATAAAGAAGAGAACATGGCCCCTCCTCTGTAGCAGTGATTTCCAGGCATTTGATGCTTGCAAACTTTATGCATGTTTCGCTTCGTGCGCGGGCGCTCTTCCTCGTTAAAATATCCAGCGATTCCCTTCGAAATACTCTTCTGTCCATCAAATGAATACAGTTCAGAGGATAGTACATAATGCTAATTTTTACGAAGACCAACGGTGTTTTCAGCCTCGATGCAAAGCCCATACAGTACTCCACATATTCCCGGTTCATTATTTTTTGGAGAACCAAGGTTATTTTGATTAGCCCATATTTTTAAGGTCTGCTCTGTACGAATTGGTTCAGTGGCGAGCACTTTCTTAGTGTTTCAACGACTGAGAAATAATGCCAGCCTCAAAATCGAGCCCAAATCTCCATACCATTGCTTCACTGCCAATTAGCCCGCATCAGCGAGAAGAATGGGATTTTTACGCTACAACGCCTTCATGTTTGAATACAAACCGAAAATCCCTTACGTATAGCGGAGCGCAATTTCCTCCCACTTCATGGCCAAACTATGGATCGGCTCTCTTCGCTGCAGTGTGCCTTAGCGCGTATCTTCTTAGCAATGCTCCTAACAACTTATTAGCCTTCCTCTCACATCTAGAACGACTGTCCTAGCTTGATAACACTGTAATGGTACTAAACAGAAGCTTCCTAAATGCTCTCATAATTGTAGTTGTGCAATCGAACAAGTTGGCCGGTGCAAGCGAGCGCTTACGGGGCCTAGGTAAGGCATGACACTATCGAAATCCGAGCATTTTAAGTGGCCAAGTTCGGGAGGAATTCTCGATACAACTGAAACAATAACACAATATTGGCAGTGAAAACCCTGCAGGTTCCGATTTATAAATGCGTACGGCGTGCACTTGTTGCCGTTATTTGTGGCCACCCTTCACTGTCCACTGGACTGACCACTGGACTGTAGCGCGTCAACGCAGCCACGTTATGGAGTATCGGCTTCAACGACAACACCGTTAGAACGGTGTGTAAATGAAGTAGACGGGTGTAGGCGATGTGACTACGTACATCAAAAACAGTATTTTTGGAATAAATACTTATTCTTTCAGGGGAATGATATGGTCGTATTTTGTGCTCGTTTTGGCGACTCCGTGAAGGGCGGGCTGATGCGTAATGTGAAACCATTCCATGTAGAGGTAGGAAAAAGTCTTCATTGTTGTTGAATTGAACCCAGTGCTCCTTATCTTCTAGCAGTGTACGTAGCAAAAAACCACCTCCGTACAGAACACTACAATTGTGAGCCGTCGGAGAAAATCCTCGGAAAACGAGTGCTCTTGCAGGAGCTGGCTGATTACATCGATCCTACTCGTTATGCCATCGCTTTCGTAACTTCTAACTTTCCCGTCCCTCCTCAAATAAAGGCTTATTAGCTTGATGGTTTTGGAATAGATTTTCTCTTTAGAAATTTTCCAACCGAGTTCACGGACATATCTGGGAAACAGATGAAAAAGATCCAGTACACATCTTATGGACGTTACGTCGTGTTGCAGTTGGTCTGATGTGAGACAAATCCCATCAAATTGACGCAGGGTGAAATATCGGGTCGAGGAGAGATAACTCAGAACCACACAAAGGTGGGGTCGTACCTGTCGGCGCTGTCATGGGGGGTTCGAAAGACTCTCTCCGGAGTCAGTAACAGCAGTGGTATCCGAGGTGTCCAGAAAGATGAGAAGAGGTATATCGCGCGCAAATGCACCAAAATGAACAATATGATACTAAATTGTTCTTAGCAGGCTCTATTGTAGCCACCTTCCTGAGAAAAAGGCGCTCCATTTGAAGCGTACAAAGAATGGAAGATGCATCCCCGCAAAGTCGAAAACAACTGAAGACTTCGCCAACATGGTGCGCATACAGCGCTCACAAGGCACGCTCTGCCTATTGTCTATCGCTAGCCTTCTCCCGCCCGTGAATAGCGCACTGAGACCTGACTCTTGTAATAGAGACCCCCAATAACTGCCGCTTAATAACGACGAAAACCGTCTGACGAAAACGTCACTAGCAATAGCGACAGTTGCCTCTTGACAGGGTTGATAAACCCAAGAGTTACGAAATGCGTTTCACTACAATGCAGCTTCTGTCAACTGGTCATGATCATTTGACACCTTTCGATCGATTCTGCAACTGTGAGTGAGGACGGATGCATGGCTATACCAATACAAAAATCGATGATGACGATTGCCCCTTTTCCTATTGCTTATGTTGGGAGGATGTTTTCTAGACCCATTTCAAGCGTTGCCAACAATTACACTTGCAATGGTGAAGGAGGGAGCGGATTTTCAGGTGGCTGGATCCTCCTCGATCCTCTCCTCGCAGATAACGCAGTTATCTTCTCAACTAGGAAAATGTAGAAGAAAGCTAAGAAGACCATCAGAAAGCGCAAACCTTCCGCTTTCCAAAACTATCTTCCCTTTTTCAGGATCTTACGATTTAAGAGAGATATTGCTCTTGAAGTGGCAAAAACTCGCGTGAAAATTTCAGCGTCCTCGACGTTTACTCGACGAAATTTGAGAGACCCTATCTTTCTGCATGGAAGGCTTTCAGAGCAATTTCAATACTTCTTGGAAACGCGAAATCCAGCTCTATCTAACCCTACCTCAAACTGCTTCAAAGGTTATGAAATGGAGGAATGCAACCTTTTCATCGAGGGTGTTTTTTCGGGATTTCAGCAAATCTGACCCAGTGACAATCGCGCCGCAGCTGCCGTTGAATCGGCCGTTGATTGATACACTCGGCTGTTTCGATATACTCAAGCAAGAATCAAGATTGTATCGCAACCCCGTGCTTCGTATAATATTACAGATATATTCTGTGCATTCTGAACGAACCTGACTTTGAGGTCACACAAAGTTAATGCCTCTTTCCTCGAGTCGATATTTCAGTAAATACACAAAAGTGTGCAGCGATGAAAGACAGTGCATAGATGACAAGATGAGGCGTCCATAACATTATTTTGCAGGATTTTTTTTTTTGATTAATTAATTGAATTAATTTGCTCTGTTTTAGGGGGTCGTGCCAGGATCTCGATTTCGGGGGGGGGGGGGTCGTACTTCTGCGACCACGTACTCGACACGATTTTCACCCTGCAATTGACTGCGTATGGAATCGACTCAAAGCGGGTGGGAACGAACACGTCACTTCCTATAACAGCTCTCGATTATCGCGTCTATGTGTTCTTTATTGAAACGCATTAGAAATAATCCTACATTCGGTGGATTCCCAAGAATCTCCGAAGGAATTTTTCAGTCCCTTGACTGTGCAAGTCAGTGAGGGAAATTCGAGGGGTTATGGCTCCATCTTTCAAAGAAATAAGCAACGTTTTCAATGTATTCAGAAGAGAGATTCAGAGAATCGTAAAAGAAGGCAAGAGGAAATTCTCTCAAGAGATGGGCGCTTTAGCAGTATTTCTATCTCCGACCGGTCTCCGTTATTTTGTTTATCCCTGTAGTTTTTCTATTCAGAATAATACTGGTGTGCAAACAATCGTCTCAGCCACCAAGAAAGACGATGTTATCAAATGCGTGATACGGTGAGAATTTTTTAGCTTTAAAGGCAGTGATTGCGGTAGATTCTGGAGGGGTTCAGAGGAGACGTGGGGGTGCTTAGTGGTGCGCTAATGGCAGCAGAGAACTCCGCGGAGAGTAAAAGTCGTAACCACTCAATTGCCTGTTCATTTTCGACCATGGATGAGCGACGGACAAAGAACGAAGTTGTTCGGACGTGTTAACCCCGATAGCCGCCATCATGCCAACAAGCATAGTGTTTTGATTGATAAGGCAATACGTGGGCAAGTTGGAAGATACAGCCGCTAGAAGGGAAATGATCTTCCAAAATGAAAAGCCAACAGCAAACAGCTCACCAATTGAACTAGTGGGCGTAACGCTTTCTGGGCGGAGTGCTTGGAAGTCCTGCTCAGCAATCAGGGCACCTTTCGTCGTGGAAGCGCCACATTTCATTCCTTGGCAGCTAAGTAACTGCTTAAATTCTTAAATAAATTTGTGTGGCGCATATACTCTCCCGATGCAGCCGTTCCTTATCGTAATCGCTTCCTTAGAGCGATTCGGTCTGACAGTAACAAGTTTGTTCTCTGTTCTCTATTTTCATTCTACGCAAACTATTAACTATCCCGTTTCGCCCTCGTGTGCTCGAGAATCTATGCTTACCAGAGACTTCATCACAGTGGCTGCTACTTGCAGAGCATGCCTTCAAATGTGCCATGGTACTCTGAGGATCTAGGCCTACGTTTTCATGACCAATTTCAAATCAAGTATACAACTTCTTCATTCTGCAGGCAGGTCAAGAAACCAGAAGATCGTCCGGAGCTATTTGATCTTGGTGGCTCCTACTACATCCTTTTTGCCAGAGGTCCCTACGTAGAAGCAAGTACGCACTTTTTTGTCCAGGTTTATTTTATCGTACAAGTAGTGCGACACCATTATGAGTTGCCGTTAGGCCTTCAAAGATATTGCGACTATTTAATAAATTCTCTCATAAAATTTACTTCAATTCTGTATTGTCACGAGAATGCGATTTCCAGGACGATGACGACTCACTAATACATATACATATGTAGTGTGTCTCTAACAATAAGATCAAGGAAGAATCTTTTGAAAACGTTATTCTAGATTTTCCGTTCCTTCATGACTTACGGGTCAATTCAAACGTGACTTATGGGCAGGAGCACGTAGCTTGAGTAAAGCAACCTTTAAGTGAAAGTTTTGTCAAGCTGACTCTAGTAGGCAAGGAAGTGAAGCAAGGAGTAGTCACCTCGTCACTTGACGGCCAAATTTCATGCCTGACTCGCTATTAGCCGATGTCATAATTTGCGAATCGATTCGCTAGCGAATCGCCGGATTTGAGCGTTGCGCCAGCGAATCGAACGTTGCACCAGCGAATCCATCAGCGAGTCGAACTATGTACCAGCGACTCGACACTGTTTGAAAGTGGCGGGCCTTCCTTTAAACGTTGGGTCCCGCCACTTTCAAACAGTGTTGAGTCGCTGGTACATAGTTCGACTCGCTGGTACATAGTTCGACTCGCTGGTGCATCGTTCGATTCGCTGGCGCAAAGTTCGATTCGCTGGTGCAACGTTCGATTCGCTGGCGCAACGCTCGGATCCAGCGATTCGCTAGCGAATCGCTCGATTCGCAAACTATGACATCGCCTTAGCGTGTTTTGGCCTCGTGGCTTGCGGTAACCTTCTGCTACACACTTTCGCTAATCAAACAATAATAACACGTTTAATTAAATGTGGTAACTTGGTGTTACCTCATGCTACATCAATAACACATTTTTCTCATAGATAG